TATAGAATCCCGTCGGGAGTTAAAATTTAACTCTCTTTTTTTACAGTGTATCTCAGAGATATCCCATGGATATCAAAGATATCTCTGGGATATATAATTTTGTAAGATATCCATGGGATATCCCAGGGATATCCTTTTGTTATGTGGATGATTAATAGAAGAACATTGAAAAAAAGATTTGTTGAAAGGAAAATATTTTTAAAAAAGTGTGCGTTGAGAAAAAAATATGTTGAAAAAAATGTACGGTGGAATAATAATAGGTTTGGAATTTTAACTATTGGGAAAAATGGATTGCGAAAAGATTTCCGCCCACCATTAATTATTATTGCAGAAAATCTTCAAATTACGAATAGTTTATTGTAATAAACTTATCATTTTTTATTCAAACATGACATAAATTATTTTGATGAATTGAACTTATTACACGGAAAAGCTTTATTCAAGAATTATTCCTGAATTTGTTTAAAAGTGGATGATATGAGAAAAATTCAGTAGGAGTTACAGAAATTTTCTGGAATAATTCTCAAAACCATTTATATAAGTATTACTATGAATGTAAATAAGACTTCTTAAATTTCTCTGGATTTATTTTGGAATTGTTTCAGAATACGAAAATTTTAATATGCGAGAAATAAATCTGGCCCTCGCGGTACTCGAACCTAGGACATCGAAGTTACGAAGCTTCAGACTTACCAATGTGCTACGTAACCATATACTGTAGCGATGGCTGAAGACATATCTAACGTAACGACCTAATAACATGGTAGTTAGATATGTTTTCAGCCTTCCCTACAGTATATGGTTACGTAGTACTTTGGCAAAACTGAATCTTCGTAACCTCGAGGTCCTAGGTTAGAGTACCGCTAGGGCCTGATTTTTTTCTCGCATATTAAAATTTTCGTATTCTGAAACAGTTCAAAAATAAATCCAGAGAAATTTTAAAGCCTTATTTACATTCATATTAATTCTTATATAAATAGTTTTCAGAGTTATTCTAGAAAATTTCTGTAACTCCTACTAAATTTTTCTCATATCCTCCAATTTTGAACAAATTCAGGAATAATTCTTGAATAAATTTTTTCCGTGTAAAGAATTAAAGAATTAAAAAATGTAATATAGGTAATTAAATATAATTTATTTAATATAACTAATGCGAGAAAAAACTATCAGTTTGATTAGCAATCGTTTCCAGATATCTTGAAATCTCCTTCAAAATTGGTAATTGTTCTTCGTGTTTCTTTTTCTTAAATTCAAACATTCTCTTCTTTAAATCTATATCTTGCCTTTTCAGGTCCAATTTCATTTGCATTAATTGTAATGCTGTTTTATCTGTCGAGGAATTATAATAAAAATATATTTAATAATTTAACAATAAATGGTTATAATTATAAAGATAAATATTTAATTGTGTTAGAATTTCTCAAACTGAGCATCAACATAAAAAAATTTAATTTTTAATGTTAAATCATTCTTTTACTCCTCGTGTGGTTAAAATAAGACTGAAATTTTTAGAAAAATAAGGTTTTTTCAAGTTATAAACAATTAAAATTTTTAACAGTCAAATAAATTTTTTTTTCAAGCTCCAGTTGACCATATTAAAAATTAAAAAAGGATTTCGCTGTATTAAAAAATAATTTCAGTTTAAAGAAGTTTTGATTTTTATTTATTTTTAATTTCTTATTTATGAAATGTTAACTAAAAATTGTGTTCTTCATTTCCTATCAAAAATTTAAAAAATGTTTCATATTCCACTAACCGAATGAAACCGTTGAGAAAAAAAATGTCGATAAGAAATAAGTTGAATAACAATAATTATTTAATTATATGTACAATAATTGAATAATTAATAATATTCTTTATTGAAAACGATGCACAATTACAGTGTTCATCTTTCTCGTCCCCTTAGGCGTAGTTATTTTGTATAATAAATAATATTTATTCTTATTACATATTTGAAAATTTCACAAATAAATAATTGTTGTTAATTCATTTTTTTCTTATTGAGTGACATTTTTTTCTCATCGGTTTTACACTCCGAAATGAATATGGAATATAAAACAATTTTGAAATCTTTGAGAGGACATAAAGTTACACAATGTTTTATTAAGATTTTGTAAATAAACAATTTAAAAAACTATGGCAAAAGGAAAATTTTTTAAATAAAAATTATTCTTGAATACTGGATTCCACGACGAGAAAAACCCTTTTATTTTGAAATTGATTAACCAGGTCTTGAGAAAAGAAATTTTTTTTATTTCAGATTGCAAAAATTAAACTTTTAATAATTTTAACGAGAAAATTTTTTTCCAATACTAATTTCATTAATATATTTTAAGCACATTAGGAGTATAACAAATTATTTTACGTTGAGAATTATTTACTTTTTATAAGTTTTAGGTAATCCATTTTAGAAATTTTGACCCAATTATTAATGATTCGAATTTATCACACTGAAAAAAATATATTCTAAATTTAAGAAAGTATACTTAAATAGGTGCCAAGAATATTCCCCACTTAAACTAAGTGGGAAATATTCTTACAATAAGAAAAATATTCTTATTGTAAGAATATTTTTCACTTAATTTAAGTGGGGAATATTCTTGGCGCCTATTTAAGTATGCTTTCTTAAATTTAGAATATACTTTTTTCAGGGCAAAAACTGCTAAACGTTCCTATTTCAAAACGTACCTTTCACTGAAGAATTCTGCTTTTCTTCTTTCCATTTTAATTCTTCGCTGTAACTGCCTGTCGTATCTATAGAAGTATATAAAGTTATTTTAAAAATTAGATAAATTTCAATATAAAATAAGTTTTTTTAATATATATGAGTGACAAAATATAAGTTTTTTTTGAATATATGTAATGTATATGCAGAAAAGTTTTTATAACATAGGTATCACACATTTACATAGCATTGAAACACTTGACCTATACTAAAAATTTATCGAGAAATGACAGGTTAAAGTAAAAAAATCGACACCCTCAATTTCACATACTTGTTAGGTATATATGCACATGCAGCAGAATTTTATTTTCTAGACGTCTAACTATCTAGATTTACGCATAGCTTCTTTACGATTTTGTCGTTGAAGCAAAATTTTTTATTGAAAATGTGTAAATAAAAAAAAATATTTTGAATGTTATTAACAAAATGAATCATTTTTTATTTATTGCACGGTAAGTAAAATATTTTAAAATATTGTACTGATATAATATCTGTAATAAAAAAAATAAGAACACAATCATTTCAAAATCCTTTGCAATGACGAAAAAAAATTATAATAGTATCAAGTGGGAAACATGAAATAAAAATTACTGTGTGCTTCAGAAGTCATAAATTACCTTCCAATTTCATCTTTTTTGGTTTACGAACATCGGATTCTACACATAGACGTTTTGGAGTTTTTTCCATTTCCGGCTTTGCTTCCGGAGGTAATACTACAAAATTAAAAAATGAAACGAATATTATAGTAAATTTTAATATTTTCTAAAATATTTACACCCAAGCATTATAAATATATTAGTAATGAAACTTTGAAAATTATTATAAATTAATTCGAAATTTGATAAATTTATAAATAAGAAAGAACTTTAATTTTCATGTTAGTTTTATATAAAACATTAAATTTGTGGTAAATGATATATTTTTGCACAAAATGTAACGTTATTAAATTTTATATCACAAATTTATAAATATTTACTTTTTAAATGAATATTTTAAATTAGGATCGAACAATGATGACACTTTTTCAAACGTAAAAATTAAAAATTCATTGAAAGAATAACAATAATAATAATTAAAATAATTTGATAATATTAAATATTAATAATATTAATTTGGTTTTTATTGAAATTAATTTTTAAAATAAAGGAAACTTATTTATGGACTTTTCTTATGAAAGTTTAATAGTTTCTCTGCAACACAATAGAATAATATTATTGTTATTTATTTATTAATTTATGTCAGCCGTTCGTATAAGTCATTCTACAAAATTTTATTTATATATTTTTTAATAAAAGGGAGGCGCATTTGAATTTAACTAACTGAACAACTTCTTATTAATTATTTTGCCAAAAGCATGTTTAGAACAGAATTGTCCGTCAAAATAAAATCATGAAATCTATATCGAAATATTACTAAGGTTTTACCACTTTTGTCCTGTAACTGTTGCCGGATAATTTCCCTGTTGCGAGCTTTTTATGCGATAGCATAAAGTCGACAAGTAATTTTTTTTGCTCGAAAGTACACTGCTTTTTTCCCTTCAACATTTTGAAAAGTCAAATTTCAAATGACAGCTCTATTTATTTGAATGGAGTGAACATTATTGAATAACAGTCATTTATTGGTTAACAAATGATTTATAATTTGTGTATAGATTTTTTCTGAAATATCGTTTAAACCTAATAAAATATAATTATATTTTTCAAGTAAGTAGTTAAATATCTATAAAGAAAATATTTTTTTATAAATATTATTATTATTATATTTGATATTAATAAATATTATTTCCTATTATTATTATTGAATTTTGTAAAAGTGTCATTATTTGAAAATTTGTTCGAAACTAACCGTAATTGACGTATAGGAAGAATTAATTCAATAGCTGGAAGAACATTCAAAATGGATGATTATTTTTTGCTCCAAGGAGTGGAACGTATAAATAATAATGCAAACAGAGAACTTAGAACAAATAGGAGAAGTTTACGAGATACGCAAGATCCGTTTGATTTATCAGAAAATGAATTTCGAAAATTATATAGGTATCACAACGGTTAGGTATTTATATTATGCTAATTTGTTAAAAAAAATATGGAAAATTTCATGTAGCATTATTTTTATCTACAATTAAATGTTTCGTTCAAAAAACTATTAACTTAATTTCAATCATAAAGTCGATATATTTTTTGAAATTTACTTTCATACAGTATAGCTTTGATTATGAGGATTAATTGATATGTGCATTGAAAATATCACATATTAATATTTTAGATTGCCTAAAATGGCAGCAAGAGATTTTATTGATGAATTGAATCCATTTATGCCACAAACGCAAAGAATGACTTCGATTTCTTCAGAAGTTCAGGTATTTATATAATTTATTTTGTTATTGTAGGAAATATTGTAAATTATAATTATAAAAATCAAATTACTATTTAAAAAAATTTTAGCCTGATAATTATAAAAATAATGCATTTATTATTGATTACAATTTTATGAGGATTTATATTGTAAGAAAATAAATACACTAAAATATTTAACTAATTCAAATGATTCTACACTCAACCATTATAAAATAAATAAACATTTGAATGAAAGAATTATTATTCACTTCAAATTAACAGTAATAATAATTAATTTTAATATATAATCAATTTTTGCAAATTTATTTTGTTGAAGTAAAAATTATTTTGTTTATGTATAAAATTATATTGAATCATTGTTAAATAATGGACTATGAATTTTATTTATATATCATTTTTTAGTGTATTTATTTTATTTTATAAAATTCATATTGTCTCATAAATTTTGTTTACACTCTTTTAATTAAAATCAAAATCAGTGATAAATATTAAAATCAGTAAAAATATATTTGTAAATAAGTGAATGTTAACTAATTCTATATTTAAAATTCACTGAGTAATCAGGTATTAATCTACCACTTATTTAAATTTGTGAAAATACAGTGATGAATTAGAGAATTTCTACTGATACAGTTTTATAGAGTAAGGTTATTATTTAAGAATTGCTTAAAATATATTTACACTATTATATTATATTAGAATTGTGAAAAAATGTTAAAAATTCGGACCAGGCCGACTTTTTTTCGGGCTAAGCCTTGTCAAGCTTATAGGCTTCATCGATGTATCAAATACTGGAAAATTTCGTATAACTTTAATTAATTAGGTATTAATTACTTATCAATTATTGACTTCTTAATTAGGTACTCGAAAATTTTGAGTACTTGAAACTATTCAAATATTCTAAAGAATTTGGAGATTATAAAAAGCTCGACTCGGCTCGACTCGAAAAATTAAAATTTTTGCACACCTCTATATACTATATATTATTACACATTGCAGTATTGTTTTGGTTTCATACGATTTAGATATTATCTGCCATCAATTTTTTCGCAACTGGATCTTATCAACGAGTAATAGGAGGTTCTTTTAAAACTTGCATGTCACAGACATCAATAAGTCGAAGTATTCACAACGCAATAACTGCATGTGAACATATATCACACAATTGGATACAATTTCCACAAACACATGAGCAAATAGCTAATACTCAAGCAAGGTATTTGCTCATTTTTATTTTTTTGGGTTGATAAAAGTGTACTTTCTGACACGTAGTTATTTACACGAATTTATTATTTATGCATATTTTATATATACCTATACAGAAAGAAATTTTATTTAAAAATTTAATATTCACTTTATTAAACTCAGTCCATACAAGATTTGCTGCAAAATATTAGTTAATGGCTATTGAATTGTTATATAATAAAGAAAATATAATTTAATTATGACTATATAATAGGTTACAAAGTGACTGATAATTTTAATTTTAATCAATATTTAATTCGCTATTAATTGTTCCCTATTTAATTTCTTTGATGCTTTGCTTACTACTTTACTTTTTTCTGAGTAGATTTTTTAACAAATTCCATTTCCCAAACGTTGTTGGAGTGATAGATGGAACTTTTATTGCAATAGTTTCACCAAGGAATGAAATAGAGGAAACGTACTTTAATAGGAAGAGATATTACTCATTAAATGCAATGATCGTATGTGTCTACATGTTAAGTCGATCTAACTAGGGTAGAAGGGCCAGTTATCAGACAGTTAGTGTCAAGTCGTTGAATATAAATGAATTTTTCTTTAGAAACATATAAAATCTTTGTTGAAGTTAAAAACTTTCTTTTTAGAAAAATATAAGGGAAATAAAAAGTGAAGCCACTTGCATCAGTTATCGGACACGAAAAAAATCGGAAATACAATCATCGTACCCTACTTATCGGACACGCAAAAATGCCTGACAATTTTAAAAGTTATAGCGTTGTTTAATTTTCATCAAATACGAAAAAATTTAACAAAAATATGAAAAAAGGGGTATAAAAATAAATTACAGTTAAAACAGAACCCATATTTATTAATAACATCTTTTAATAACACATTTTAATAAAACATTCTTTAGTTAACAGCTTTTTTATTTCATATTTATTAATAGTAGTATATTAAGCAACAAGGGACTAAAGGCACAAATGTGGCGCTTTTAGGTTAGTTGATAGCCGGGTGTAAAAGAGATTCACTTGTTCTATTGTATGAAAGTGACGTTCATTATTACACTAGGGTGAAAAAAACACATGCATCATGTGTTCATTTTTACCCTAGAGAAAAAAGGAGGTCACTTTCAGACGGGAGAACAAATGAATGGCATTATACCCGCCCGTCAGATATCTAAAAGCGCCATTTTTGTGTCTGTAGGATAAAAATCTTTTTCAGCCCTCAGGCCCGCAGAGGCGGTTTTAGATACCTGTGGATAGAGCTGTAATGGCGTTCCTTTTTGTCCCGGTCTAATATGGCTTCTCATTTTAGCACTGGGCTAAAATGGACTCATTTTTGACCTGTCTTTTAGCCCTAGGGATAAAATGGACTCATTTTTGACATGTCAAAATCTAAGAGATCGAGTCAAAAATGAATACCATTAAAGCTTTATCCGCAGGTATATAAATCATATCTTGATGACCTATAAAATTATCAATAAATTTTTACTTAAATTAATAAGAAATATTTCTCAAATTGCGAACAGAAAGTCTGGATAGCTGATTTTGAGGTTACACTTAATTACACAACTCCGGTAGACTCGTATTTGATAGGTGGCACAAAAATGCAAATTACCATCTATTTATCGAATCCGATAATTGACGCATAGTAAAAAAGTTGTTCTAATTAACATTACTTAATTATTGTGGAAAATAATTATTAAGACTTGAATTTTCTTGTCTCACTTAATTAATGTGAAGTATACTTTGACAATATAACGCAGTTTTGAGGCCAAAAATGATAAAATGACAATTTTACAGACTTTAAAATAATCACTTTCTAACATTTTAGTAACAAAAATGTTCGAAAGTTGTAGATTTTGTACACTATAAAATTAAATAATTGTTTTTTAGTTCGAGTTACTTTTTACTATAATGTTTTCTTTGCCACTCATAAGAAACCGTTTAACTTTTTAAAATAAAATAATATATACCGTAAGATGGGGTTATTTCGCTCATGTAGGGTAAATTCGCTCACTGGTTTTTCTTGCTTCAAATTAGCTTTATACTAAAATTTGATATTTTTATTAACAAGTACAATATTTTTTATTGTTAATGAAAGTAATAAAAAACATCAAACTTTATTTTAAAACAAATTTGAAGCAAAAAGCCGTTGAGCGAATTTACCCGAAAATGAGCGAAATAACCCCACTTTACGGTATTAATAGGAAGTCGCATTTTTCTAACATTATAAAAAATATTAATATGTCTGATAACCAGGACATGTTTGATAACTGGCCTCTCTACCCTATTCAAATTTCTATTCCCAAATAGCACGGAAAGTTGCAACAAGCTTGCAGCAAGTTTATTGTGCGATATTACCAAGCTTTCAGCGGAAGATTTCCACAAGCTTGCCTAAGATATGAAAATATCCCACCTATGGCAAGCTTTCCGTGAATGGTTGTTGTAAGCTCATCATGAAAGGTTCCTGCAATCTTGACATGAAAGATTGCTACAAGATTGTTGCAAACTTACTACGAATGATTTCGACCAACTTGCTGTGAAAGATTTCTGTGAGCTTGTGGCAAGATTGCGGCAAACTTGCTGCAGTTTTAAAAATTTTTTTAATTTAGGAAAATAAAAAAATTTATTTATTATTTTTCTATTTTGCAGATTGTTTTGACGTTCGTATTTAATTAATTTATATTAATTTTTGGAAATAATTTTTATAGGACTTCTTTGCAATCTTGTAGCAATCTTTTATGTCAAGATTACAGGACCTTTCATGGCAAGCTTACAACAACCTTTCACGGTTAGGCATTTTGCTATTTCAGGCAAGCTTGGCAATATTGCACGTTAAGTTTACCACTGATGTTTTTTTAAGTAATTTAAAAATAATTTGGACAAAGGTTTAATTTTTATCCCACAGGCACAATAATGGCGCTCTTAGATATCTGATGGCCGGGTATGGCCGGATGTAAAGCCATCATCTGTTCTCCCGTCTGAAACTGACCTCCATTTTTTCTCTAGGGTAAAAATGATGGATGTGTTTTTTCACCCTAGGGTAAAAATGAACGTCACTTTCATACAATAGAACAAGTGAATCGCTTTTACACTCAGCTGTCATATAACTTAAAAGCGCCACGTTTGTGCCTTTGGAATAAAAAGTATCGTAAGCAACATGGTGCTAAAGGCAGCCAAATTTTTTGCGTTGACGTTTGCACTCGTTCACGTGTCGGACTCGCAAATTAAGAATTTTATTTTAAAATTTAAAATATTTATTCTTAAAGAAGAAATCAATTTATGATATTTCCAAATATAATTGACATCGGACTCGCTTTGCTCGCCCTCGACTGCCACTCGTGCTGCAAACGTCAAAGCAAACAATGACTGCCTTTACATCCTTGTTGCTTAATATACTATTAAAATTGAAAATGATTATTATTAGGTGTGCAATTCAGATAATGAAATTACAGCAATAAATGCGAGGTATGGAGGTAGAGCAAACGATCAACGTGTGTACAGAAATTCAGCAATAAGAAACTTTATGGAACGAAGATATGATGATGGAATTAGAAATTTCTGGATTTTAGGTTTTAGAACTCAAATAATTAAATAAATATAATAATAAAATTAAATATAAATTAATTTTAAAATTAACGGATCTGCGTGTTAAATTTTAACTTTAAGTTTTTAGTATTTACAATGTATAAAATTAACAAACGGAGAAAAATAAGTTTTCCATTATAAAGATAGTTTACTTTTACCTACAGCAGCTAAATCTTAGTTACAATAGCTAACTTTTTTCCCTCAGCATAATAATTATTTTAATATTATATAAAATAATATCTATATTATTATATTTTTTTATTATATTTCAATTGCTATTGTTGTTTTTGTTGTAAATTAAAATTAAAAATATACTTACTTTCATAGGTGATTCAGGTTATACCTTAACTCCAACATTGATTACACCGTTTCATAACCCTGAAAGAGGATCTCCATCCGAACGATTTAATATTGCATTTGTAACGTGTAGATCAATTGTAGAACGTACAATTGGCATCTTGAAAGCCAGATGGAGATGTTTGAGAAAGGAAAGAGCGTTACATTATGACCCAGTAACCGCTGGTAAAATAAAAATAGGTTCTGTGTAGAAAATCAATTTTTTATAAAAAATTGATTTTTTACTTTCTTTTTGTAATAGTTATTTGCTTTTATTTTATAAATAACCGTGTAGAAAAATTGCTGAAGGGATCAGACCGGAATAAATAGGGCCCTGTTCGAAAACACCTGACCCGGACCCGATAAGGGAATTGTATTGATAAAAAGTTCCCTATTTTGTTTTTTTGATATATTTTAATGTTATTTTACTTCAAATTTTGATGTCCTCTAACACATTTTGAAGATAATAGAACTTTTAAATTGCACACCAAGCTTGAAGCAAACCTTATCGACAAGCTTGCACCAAACTTGGAAAGCAATGTTAAGCCATCATGAAAATTTTAATTTGTGGGTGACACAATTTGTTTAAACAGGCAGAATTGTAAATATGTGTTGTGTTTTACACAACATATGTAGAAGGTATGGCGTACCGGATCCAGCCATGTATCGAGACCCAGATGTCGAAGATGACGAAGTAATTGAAGAAATTGAAAGAGAAGATGGTGAAATTGTTCGCCAACAAATCGTTAACGAATATTTTTTATAAATTCGTTAAACCAGAATGAATATTAATGATTTTTAATGTTACAATTGAACACACTACACACCTAATTGGTAAACTACTAATATTGGTTACTATTTTATTAGTCAAAAACTACACGGAGAAAAAAGTTAAATATACATATTTATTAAAATAATAAAATATTTAGTTTATTTAGTTAAACTAGAAAAAAGTACAATTTACTAATGTCATTGTTAGATCGAGAAAAACGATCAGTTAATGATATCATGTAGTTAAAAGAGTGCTGCTAATATATATTAGTTACCCTAACCAATCCTTTCCCTAAGTAAAAAATATTTGTTACAGTGCGGGTGGGTCGGTATCATTTTGACATAAAATTTTTCGTAAAGATTGCTATGTTCTACAACCAGAGATAATGTTGTTTTGTACAACTTAAAAAATCAAAAATGTTATTTTGTACAACTTCAAATAAATAGTTTCTTTATTACTAAATATAAAAAATAACAATATTACAAAATAACATTTTCGATTTTAGCAGTTGTACAACATAACAATCTTTACGAAAAATTTTGTGTCAAAAAGATACCGAACCGAGCGGGTTTTACTTTTCTAAAGTTTATTTTAAGGCACTTTTCCTATGTGACGGTTTTAAAAAATCGATTTTTTTGTTTTTGCATATTGCGAAAGTACAATATGTTAGAAATATCATGTAAAAGTCTTAGACCGATATTCGAAATAATAACAAAGTTATAGCACATTAAAGTAAATAGTCCATGGGTGCGCTCTATTGAACCCTCAATAGCTGCGTTGACCATACTTTGTTATTTTTCTCTCGACCCTTATACCTTTGCTTATTAGAAGTGAGAAATGAAATGAAATAAATTCAGAAATTATGCCTATAAGGAAGCTAGTGGTTTATTATTATGGAGATTAATGTAAGTACTAGCGATATATTCCTCGCTCGCTGACGCTCGCTCGGTTGAAGTTTTACTTTTTTTTCTTTACGTATTGTAGTTTATTCATATGTATATTTATTTTTTGTTTTAAATTATTATTTCATTATAAATTATAATAATTCAATTTTTTTAATTTTCAAATTACTTTTTAAAAAAAATTTAATTTAATGTAATAAAACAAATTTTATATGTCTGTTGACTTAAATTCTGATTTTATTCTACAATATTGATTGTAAATTGTTTCTCTTTTTTTCAATTGCTACTAAATGCTATGTAAGGAAAACTGGTAAGGGCCTTACCACTTTTCCTAACGAATACCCTACTTTTTAATATTATATAGTATTCAAATTTGTAAATCTAAAAATATATTTTTAATTCAATATAATTAATTAGTACTATTAATTGATTATTTAATTAAATATATAATCGAACTGAACTTCGTATTTATCAAAGCCAAAACGCATGTTAAATCGTTTTAGCTATCTCCGTAATCAAAGATTTAAAAATCTAAAAGGGTTATATCTTCGGAAGTGTGCATTGATTGAGTGCATTTGTGTAAAATTGGGAGTGACATGAGATGCCTTATTCTTTGTTTTTTAGAAAAATTGTCAAGAATTTATAATTTAAAATTCAAATTTTATAAATATTTTTAAAAAAACTTTATGGTGTTGCTGTTAATGAAAAATTATAATACAATGTAATGAATATAAACATGAAACATCTATTCAAAAAACAAGATTTATTGATTCATTATATCGAAAAAAATAAACATATATCAAATTTTAAATTATTATTGTTAAATAATAATTAAATTCTTAAATCATAAGAAGTCTTATTTGTGTCAAAGTCATCTGCGACGCCATAATTACAGTCATGCATGAAATTATTAACATTTTTTCATTTTCCATTTCCATTTTTTAATATTATATAATAAAGGAACCCAAGCAGCACGGTGTATCCCCTCAACATCCCTTGAATATCACCGTGGAATATTCCAATGATTTTCTAAGAAAACCAAAAAATATATATATATCCAAGCAATATTGAGGGAATATTCCAGTGATATGGATGAAATATTCCACGGTTATATTAAGGGGGGAACACCAGTTGTAACTCAAAAAATAATGCTTTTTTCAAGAATATTTTCCAAAAGAACAATGAATCTTTTTAAAAAATACTATTTATTAGTTAAAAGTACATGTAAAAAGCTGTAATTTAAAAGAAAAAAAAAATTTTTTTAACAAAAACTTTTGGAGATATGAGCCATTGAAGTGGCGTCTTAAGAAAAAAGGCGAATTGCGGTGACCAGCATTCTGCAAGTATACTTCGTCTGAAATACAAAAATGAAATTGATTTACATTTATTATAAGATTATCTAGTTCGTGATCGAAGGATTTAAAAAAAAAAAATTTGACAAAATGGCGACCTGTCAAAGTCAAAAGTATGATTTTCGTTAAAAAAATACGGTCGATTTTCAGCTATATAAAAAAAAGTTTTGCATAAAAAAAAAAATCCTTCGATCACGAACTAGACTTATATGTGTAAATGAAGCACACTAAATTTTAAATAAATCGGTTTAATGGTATTCGAGTAATCGTGGTCACCGACTTGGAAAATGTCATTTTGAGAAAAACGCATTCAAAGTTTCAACTTACTTTTTTTTGTTCAGAAGAAATTTTGTTTCCAAGTAACAAAGAGTCATCGATTCCTGGACCATATAATAACTCTTCCGCAGTGGTTGCCGTTTCTAAATCATAGGAAAAGGCCATCTGTCGTTAGGGTCAGTTATGGCTGGCCACCTTGTATGAAGCCACGGGACGCGCCGATGCAGTGTTCTGTATATCTCATTTATTTTTCACCGGATCAACTTTGAAATTTACAGACACATTTCTAAATATGTATACTTTAAGAAAATGCACAAAAAAAAAATTGATTTTTCGAAAGTTACAACTGGTGTTCCCCCCTTAAATTAAATTTTTTTTAATCTTCCTGATTATTTAAATAACAATTTATAACACAATTCCATGATTTCAACACATTAATAAAGTGGTTCATTTAATGAAAATATTTAGCTTCTTCATCTTGATTAACAGAACTTATACTATTAGTTTTAAAAAATTAAAAATTTTCATTTTTTGTGAAAAATAATGCCAGCAATTATATTCTGACAAAAATCAATTAAAATGTTTATATAAGAAAAAGTTATTTAAAAAATTCAATTAAAAAATGAGGAGAAATGTAAAAGATATCGAAAAATGAAAAAAAAATTAAGAATGAAGAAATAAAATTACAAAATATTGAAAAATGTAAAGAATATCGAGAAAATTGTAGAAAAAGAAAATTAGAAGCCAATAATAATATTAATTTAAAATGTTTGAAGTTAGCAAATAATATAGTAATTTGGATGTTATTTGTTAATTTTGTCCAGCTAAGCATTTTCTTTCAGAAATGCCAGAGGATAAAAAGTTTAGTACATGTTGTCATAAAGGCAAAGTTTTGTTAACTGAATATCCATTACCCCCGGTAGAATTAAAGGAAATAGTTTGTGGTCAAACTGCAATTAGTAATCATTATAAAAAATGTATAAGAAGCTACAACAATACAATACCGTTTGCAAGATTTGGTGCAACATATGCTTCTCTACAAAATAAAGGTCCTCAAGTCTTTAAAATGTGTGGTCAAATTTACCATAACACATATTCATTACATCCCAAAGAAAATGAATTCAGAAAGTATGGTCAACTGTATATAATTGACAATGAATTAGCTACACAAAGTCGTAAAGATATTAATAATAACTGCAGAAATGATATTTTATCTAATTTAGATAAGTTGATCAGAAAAATTAACCCTTATGCTAAAGCGTACAAAATGATGTACGAAGTAGAAAAAGAAGAACAAGAATTTGTTACTAATAATAATAATCTACCTCGAGAAATTAAAATGATTATGAAAAGAGATATTAATTTAGATAAAAACCGATATAACTCTCCTGTTACAAATGAAGTTGCTGTTGTATTTGTTGATGAAAATGATGAACCTCCAATAAAACGCGATTTTTGTGTATATTCTTAATTTAATAAACCAATTAGCATCCCTGCAATAAGTAGATATGTAGATCCAATGACATATCCTTTAATATATCCTGCAGGAGGTAGTGGTTGGATGCCGAAATTATTATCAAAAGATCAAAGAAACAATATAACAGCTTTACAGTTTTACTCATTTAAAATTAGTGTTAGAGATGAGTTTAGTCCATTTCTTAATTTAGGTAAATTAAGCCAACATTTTATTGTCGATGCTTTTGTAAAAATTGAAGGTGCAAGATTATATTTTATAAAGAAACAACAACATATCTTGAGAACTGAATTATACTCTGGATTAATGGATTATTTACATAAGAGAAAAGAAGAGAAGAAAATTGTTCAAATTCGTAAAATGTTTATATTGCCATCTAGTTTTGTTGGAAGCTCTAGAGCATTACAACAAACTTTTAGTGATGCAATTTGTTTAGTTCAAAAATATGGTAAACCTGATTTGTTTATAACTATGACATGTAATCCTAAATGGAAAGAAATTACTGATAATATTAAAAAAATGAAGATGTAATTAATAGGCCAGATATAGTTGAAAGAGTATTTAAACAGAAAGTAAAAGAATAGCTTCATAAAATTACTGTGAAAGAAATATTTGGTACTTGTATTGCTTACACATATGTAATAGAATTTCAGAAGAGAGGATTACCGCATATTTACTTATTACTATATTTACATATAGATGACAAAATAAGAACAACATACGATGTCGACAACTTTATTTCAGCAGAAATACCTGATGAAATAACTAATCCACGTTTATTTAATTTAGTAAAGCAATTTATGATTCATGGACCATGTGGAAAACAGAACTTAACTTCTCCTTGTTTAAACATAAATACAAACAAGTGCACTAAAAATTATTCCAAACAATTTAATGATAATACAGAATTTAATAATAAAAGGCTGCGCTAGAAATTATCGGCTGCGCCTTTCAAAAGTTAAAAAAATACAAAGCTACGCTGAACAAGAG